AAAAAAAAAAAAAAAAAAAAAAAAGATATATAGACGAATAGAACGGGATATACAATAATCTACCGAAACGGACGGAAAAGTTGTGCAAAGCGACGTGGTCAGTTAATCTGAACATGCATAGAGCCTCCTAGCCGTATGGTCTACCCCCCCGAAATCATTTGCTTGATAAACATTCATGCAAGAGCCCGTGTGCATTAACTGAACAAATTAATGCGCCCAAAACAACATATCTCAACCCCGCCTCAATTGTGTAAACTCTTTTAAATTCACAAACCCCTATTTATGAGTGGACTCCTTTTTTCGACCTTTTTGACAAAATATTTTAAGAACGGGTCCGAGTAGTATCCTAGATTAACGGCAGAACTGAGGGAGGGGCATGGGGGGAGAGGACGTTTGCGCCTCACATGTCTATACGTTTGTTATACGCAGCGGTGGAATTTACGAATACCACTGGAGAGCATATCATTCAGTGGCCCCGCACACCAGAGCGTGACTTTCTCTCTCGCGTGTCTTGCATTTAATTTTTTTGGTTTTTCTTTTTTCCTCTCTTTTTGTGTTACAATTTGCTGCTGGCCGCCTCGTGGGTTGTTCCTTGCACCCGAACGTTGGGTGATTTTAGCGAACTCATCTTGGCTCTCCGAATCTGAGTCCTTTATATATATATTTTTGCCTTCTCAATCGAATGAAGAAGAGGCTAGAAAAGAAGGGGCAGGACTTAATTTGTGGGGACAAACTTCTAATTTTTAATAAAACCCTAAAAGGCCAAATACAAAATGAAATTAAACTGCGCTCGCGCCCCTAGCATGGTTATACATGTGCATGCACAACTTGGAGTAGAAGTACTTTTCCTATTTTGTTCCTTTTGAATTCTATCCCCAGATAAGCTAGCACCCGTCATAGAAGAGGCTTAAAAGTGTTGGTTCGTGTTATCATTTTTTTTTTTTTTTTTGTTCACACTGTAAGTAGCCTGTTCCGTTCCGACCTGTACGAGAAGCCCCTAAACCATGTGATGGATAGCCGCATTTGATAATAACCAAAAATACAAATAAACGGTTTTATGCACGTTCTCAGAAAGACCTTGCGAGCCGACCCTACCTGAACCATACGTCCTATTTACTTTCCATTTTATGTGCATGTTTCTCGTAATTTTCCCCCTGATCAGCTTGACATATCCCCACACAGGGAAACAACACACAGGCCAACCTGCTCGGAACTAGAGTCCTTCTTGCACGTGTGGAATGGCGAAATCGTTCTAATCATAGTCACGAGGATTTACCTACATAAAGTACAACACTACATGTTACACCTGTTGTACTCCATCTGCTGGAAGCCCCTTACAGTTTGTTTATTTATTATTTTAATTTTTTTTTTTTTTTTTCCCCATCTAGCAAAAGTGAATTCGAATATGTCTTATATACGGCTGGGTTATGCTTAACGAGATTTATCTTTTTTTCGTCACGCGGAACATATTTTTCGCCCTCGAGCTATGTGCGGACCTTAACCGACATGCTACGTCCTCCTGTCAACACTGCAAGCATTTTCACGTACATTTCGGTGAGGTGCAAAAAAAACGGTGGATGATTAGGCGAGGTGACATAACAGTATAGCGTCCAATACAGGTCAGGTGAACCTTTTTTACGCCCCGATATTCTTTTAAGAGGAAGCTGCTCTGTGTAGAAACAAAAGCATTTTGTATTGTCCTTAAACAAGGTAAGACGACACAGTAATATTCAGTCGACTATCTTTCCACTGGTATACAAACAACTTAATGCTCTCAGTAGTAACTCTTTTTTGTGTTCCCTCCTCCGGTGGCATTTACTCGCCAAAGCATTCATCCAATGCGATGGTGTCCATCCACAGGCACAAACACACATACGTATATATGCATACATACATTCATGTGTAAAACCGCATATTTTCTGTCCCTTTTTTCCGTTTCCTCAACGCTCACCTACTATGAGCTACACACCTCCCACTGCACACATCTCTAATAGCCTTTTTTTTTAACATCCTTGGGGGCAACTCTTTTTTTTACTTGTATTTTGCAAACCCCCTTTTTTGTCACCTCGTCTGGTATACACACAACATGTGGAAACATAGTGGAGTGAAACTACGACCCTGTGAGGGCGGGTGCGAAACGAAGGTGCACGTCAAATTTTTGTGTTCTTTTTTTTCGCTCTTTTCTTATCAGCTTGATCACACGTCTGTGCACGCACGTCCACCTGATTGCGGAAATGCTTCCTTCTATAATGTCCTCTAAATTGATAAAAAATGTTTCAACCTTCTCGAGCAACACAACATATAGCTCCTTTGTTTGTTAGCGAAGTATTCGCCCGCCATTTTCTACGTCTCCCCTTGGACACAGAAATAAAGCACATAACCATTTGCAAAAGATTTCCCTCCCCCAATTGATCATGATAAGGGGGAAAAGTACATTCCCCCGGAAATTGCAAAGATGACCTTATGCCCATAAAGTAAACTTATACACAAAAGCCTTTTTTTAAAACGTGTGTCTCACACATATAGATATACAAATATACCTTTTAAAGGAACAACTTTTGCTCTTTCCACAATGCTACATAGCCTGCTGTTCCGCTTATGCGTGTTGCACAAAGGAAGAGAGAAAAAAAAAAAAAAAAAAAAAAAGCCTCAGAAAAAAGGAAGCTGAAAGACATCTTATTAAATGAATTTTTTTATGAAGCTTTCGAACACTCCGCAAAACTTCTTTCTCTTAATTGCATTTTTCTCATGTGAATAAATTGATGTTCCTTCCCGCTTGTTTTATTCCCTCTTTTCCGCTCCTTCATCTTTTTTCCCCTCATTTATTTACATGTTTATTTTTTGACGCATTTATTTGCCCAATAAATTACAATATATATTTTTTTTTTTAAAATGTATACCATTGCTTCCTCTTAATTCTTGTGCTCATGCAATGCACAAGCAATTGAGTTCATTGCCTTTGCAGTGATTTTTCAAATCCCCTTTTTCCAAAAACACTGCATACATATGTATACGTATAGAAGAATAGCACCCAGGAGTACCTGTACTCGGCGTGTATCCATACGTACCAAGTGCGCAGGTACATACATTCACTTGTGCATAAGGGTATGTATATATATAATCACATGATGTATCGCATTGCGTTTGAACAAGCCCTCCTGTTTAAAATGAGAACATAAAATTAAGGGCCAAGCTATATCTTTATGGTTCCCGTGTACAATAATATGCGCAAAAGCTCATTAATTTTTTTTTTTTTTTTTTTTTTTTTTTTTTTTTTTTTTTTTTTTTTTTTTTTTTTTCAGAATTCGTGTTTGCGCTTTTGGCATCTCTCATTTTCGTTCCTCAATCATTCCTGATTCATTGCTCATTCATTTCTCATTTATCACTGCGCAGTTCTTTTCATTTCCTCCCACTTACCATTCCATATTTTTTTCCCATTCGTAAAGCCTCCCCTTGCGCAAAAACGCATTCCCAACATTATGCATATGCGTATTCGCGTATGTACTTGCAAGCGTATATGTACTTTCATTTGCGTACACCTAGCTCCTTACACCTAGCTCCTTACACCTAGCTCCTTACACCCAGCTCACGTGCACGCGCCGCGGTTAACCACCCCCATTTGGGTTTATGCTTAAGAAGGGCAGCCATACATTAGCAGTGCGCGCCTTCACATCACAGCCGCGCGGTATGTACGCACATATATTTACGCATGCATATGTATGTGACTTGCGTGCACAACCCAACGAAGAGGTAAACGAATTTTGGAGTCGAGCTGGGCCAACTTGCGTACACGGGAAAAGTACATTGAGGCGTCACTTTCTGGAGGACAGAAAAAGGAGCGAAGAAAGGTGAACGTATAAGGTGGTGATTGGGCGAACAGGCGAAGAAAAGGAAGCAAAAAGAGCGTAAGGACCAAGGGGCGAGAAAAGAGCACAAGGAAATCGACATCTAAAAGGTCACAGTGGAAGAAGGGATCAATTCGGGAACTGCACAAAAGCGACACAAGCGCGAACCACGACGGGAAGGAGGAAAGCAACCCAGGCAGAAAGAATAACAGAACAAAGGGGGGAACAAATAAGCACCAACATAGCAGCAACATTACGGCATAACAACAGCCGCAGAAAGGGCAACCTTGACAGGCATTGCCGCAACAGACCCCCCGTACACACAGCCATAGTGACCCTCCCCCCAAAAGGCCAAAATGAAGCTGCTAAAAGTGACCCCCGAAAAAAAAATAGAATTTCCTATGGTACATTTCCAAGCAGTGACGCAAGTGGTTAAACTAGAAAATATAAGCGACAGGAAAGTGGCATTTAAAATTAAAACCACGGCGCCAAACAATTATCTGGTTCGACCATCCTTTGGCCTAATTAACGTACAAGAAACAATTGATATTCAAATTATTTTGCAACCCTTATCCGATAAGGACAATATTTCGAATGATAAATTTCAAGTCCAATGTTTAAATGTCGATGATAACACCACCGTCGACAAGCAGTTCTGGGTCACTGTTAATAAAAATGAAATACAAGACCATAAGTTGGTCGTTGTGCTCAACGACGAAAGTTCCAGCAAAGGACCACACTCCTACCTCCCCTCAAATAATAACCCTCTCTCGGAAATTAATAACAGGAGTCACAATTTAAATTACGCGGAACATAATTTAAATGCGGACGATGCCAATATGGCGGAAGGTAAAAAAAAATGTGCAAGCGTCACCGTGTGTGTGTGTGCAACGGACGTGAGCGCATGAATATTTACATGAACCCATGCATGTTACCACTGTAGGTATATGCCAATTGGTGTGTGTACATATATTCTAACACATTCCTCCCCTCATGTGCGTATTTTTTTTTTTTTCCCCCCCTATAAAGGCATAAAAGGTGGCCTACCAGGTATGCAGAGGAAATATCATGAACTCCTAAACTACTGCGTTTTTGTGGATAAACAGAAAGCGGCACTGGAGAAGGAAAATGAAAGTTTGAAAAATCAATTAAAGGCATATAACAGCAACTGTAACAAGCTTTTCGTAGACAATAAACTCATACCGATAATCGTTGTTATGTTGGCCGTCGTCACCAAGTATATGGGATATTGGTAAATGGGAAAAGGCGCCCGTCCCCCGAGGAGGATACCCCTCTGCTGTATCGCTGTACTGGTCCTTTGTTACCACCTACCATCCTGTGTTGACAACATTAGTGTATATATATATATATATATATATATCAGCCCTGGAAAATAACTCACCAAAAATTTTCTCAACGTTCAAAAATATAATGTGGGCAAAAGAGCACACACACACGGGATATACAGTGGGAATACAGCAGCCATCCATTGGAACGAAAGCAAAGGGAAATATTCAGCAAGTTTGGCAATAAGACAGCACATGATTTCATGCAGTAGTGAAATATTTTACCAAGTCAATTTTATCACTATGTAAATTATAGCCCCTATCTGGGTTACCATTCATATAACGGTTTGTACATTTCGAAAGGTGGAGGTAAATGTATTAATGATTTTCTCGAAGATCCTATATGTGAAAAGGAAAACCCCAATAAAATTAGAACAAGTAATGGTGTAAATCCATGCGCCCCCATCCCTGGGGGTTATTATTTTTCCATTACTTTTTAAAAGTAAGTTAAAATTACATAAACTATATTTTAGTGCGAAGAAGCCAAAACTTATTTTATTAAAAAAAAGAGGGGGGAGGATATACGGACGCGCATGTGCGTCACCAAAATGTGCATATTATTACATACTTATGTGCACATATGCGTAGTAGCCTATACAATTAAGTTTCCCCAATTAACCCCCCCCTTTTTTTTTTTTCTCTCTCTTTTTTTTTCTTCCTTTCTTTGCATTGCCTTCCTTCACAATTTACCATGTGTGCGTGCTCCTTTTCTTTTTCTCCTTTTTAATCATATATATAAAAGTCCCCACTGAGTTATGTGCATGTACCAGTAAACATGTGTATGTCTATGCATATGTGGAAATGTATACATATATTTTATATATTACATATATATATATATATATATATGCGAATATGTCCTCGTATGTGTAACCCCTTTCTTATAATTTAGTCACTTTCTCTCATTAGCTTCGCACTATTATCAATTCCTCTGCTACTCTCTCCCCTCCTTTTTTTTTTTTTTTTTTTTCATCTCATTTTATTGCATATTAATGTATTATTATTTTATTTATTATAAAAATATATAAAATAATGATTGCCATTTTTTTTTTTTTTTTTCCCATAAAAAAGGAGGTATGTGATATTTATGCGCTTCGTTTATGTGCATCCATTTTGCGTACTTATGCCCCCCTACATACGTGCACACGTACGTGCATATATATATATATATATATATATATATACCTCCCCGCCCCCCCCCACACATACCCAAGTACATGTATATTTATATATACATATATCCCTGTGTGTGTGTGTGTGCGAAGCATAGGCAATTTTTAAATGTAGATGATCTACATTTTTATCAACCTTCACTACGTACATTTGATAATAGACAAAATATAAATAAAGTTTTTTTGTTTTTGAAGTAGTTATATACACTAACTGGCAAAATAGCAGCCTTAAAAAAATTCCCCCCAAATGATCCTACTCCAGGGGAGAGGGGAAGCCCATTCGGTTAGAAGGGGTGTTCCTTTTTACCAAATGGAGTATGGCCTATGATTTCTACTAGTAAAGGTTTAATGACAGAACGAACTTCTCATTCCCTGGGGTACTCCCCTGCGACTCATATTTATAAGTGCGTTCTAACAATAGCCCATGTGGCTAAGAAGGGGAATACAAGTATGTAGGTTTATAAATATGGCCATACGTACATGTGTGCATGTGCTAGCTATTTTTTTTTTTTTTTTTCCGATGGCCTAGTTTGCAGCAAAAGCGAAGCGGTATCTTTGACGAAGGAAGAAACTGACATGGGCACTCACTTGGATGGAGATTCATTAATTGGCGTCGTTCTCTCCATGCTTATGGAAACATACGGTATGAAAAATTACACCAAAGGTGGGTACTAAGAAATGTGAACAAAAGGATGGAGCGAAGGACGCAAAAAAAGAGTGTCACCACAATACGCGCAAACAAATGATCACGCGTACATCACAACGGCATAGTAGCCTTCCCGACCTTTACGACTTTCCTAATGTAAAAACTTTTTTTCCTATTTTGGTGAAATCATATTTGGCGCGATATCCCACGCCGGTTCATTCGGCCTTTATGAAATGTCACCAAAATAAAAAATCGGGAAGGAGTGTCTACCTGCTTCATATAAAATTATCACCATTGAGCAAAAAAAAAAAAAAAAATGGACGCAATTTTACGGAATACTTAAGATTCCTCCTCATGTGTACCTCTCTTGAAAACATTAAAAAGGGTGTAATCGCAAAAAGGAATTGTTAACAGAATTAAAACGCGCAAAAAAAAAAAATAAATAAATAAATAACCCAAGGGATGCATATATAGGTGGCGACGGTTGCGCGCGCGGGGAGACCATTTTCCCCCATATAGGACACGGCTTACACCCCCCCCACTATGCTCACGCGTGCACTTTTTACATGCACATATATATATGAACGTGTAACGACGCCATACGAATATACATGTGCTGTACTTCCTTCAATTTTTTTTTTTCTCTCTATAAATACATAAACACATACTCATTTGGATTTGTAAATTAAAATTTTATTCTCCCATAATTATGCCAAATGACAGCAGCTTGTGGATGTTTTTTTTTTCCTCCTTAATCACGCCAGCGAGTCAGCTGATGCACCAACTCCCTCTCTCGGCCGTTCAATTCAGGAATGTCACTATATATAATTTATGGCCATTGGGGCATGTACCCCAAATGTACACAGGAAGATGTGACCTCCTTCGGGCTCTCCAAAGGAAAGCACATGGACGTACGCTGGGACAGCTCTTATGCAATGATCACAAAGACGATGACACTAAAAAAAAGTACAAAAAAATGGAACAAAATGGAACAAAAAATGTACCAGAAATAGGAAAGCTACACTGAAATGTAAACTTTACAATTTAAAAAAAAAAGAGAAAAAACCACACGCTAAATTAAGCCCCCCCTCCAAAAAAAAAAAAAAAAAAAAAAAAAAAAAAAATGGGGAAATATATAAACAAAAAAAAAATAACATCAATAAAAACAAATTTATAATGCGTACCCCGTCAT